CCTCCTTCCCTCCCTCCTTCCTTCCCTCCTTACGTCCCTTCCTCCTTCCTTCCCTCCTTCCTTCCCCCCTTTCTTCTATTGCTATCCCTCCTTCCTTCCTTCCTCCTCTCCTTCCCCTTCCTCCCCTTTACCCTTCCCCTCACCCTCCCTTATCTCCCCTCTCTCCTACTCTTACATTCCCTCCAATTCTTCCTCTGCTTTTCCCTCTCTCCTATTCCTCTCCTTTCTCCTCACCTTCCTATCTTTCCTTCTACTCCTCCTTCCATCCACTCTATCCGTTGCTGTGTTTACATATTCTCCTCTTCAGGAGGTGGCTCTGGTCAGACTTATATCGGACTGCTGTTGTGGCCCGCCGGCGACTAGTGGAGCTGGCAGCAGAGTCGGACAGTGAGGAAGTTGGGGAGGAACATGGGCCAGTCCTGGGGGCTGAGGGAAGCTCAGACGAGGGCTCTGCATCGGAGGCAGAGAGGGAGATAGACAGCAGTGAGGCAGAGGAACAGCTGGAGCCTGTTCCCAGTGTGAGCATGCGCAGAGCTGCCGGAAGACAAGAACAACTAAGGAAGCAGGGTCGACTTGGGAGTAAAGCCACACCTTGGAGGTGATTGGCCCCCACCACCCAAGGAAACAAAAGAGGAGCCAATGGGGAGTGGGCTTTTGCAGGAAATAATTAGTTTCTTTGGTTGTTTCAAGAGAATTTCTGTTTGTGACGATAAGAGACTAAGTGTTTGGAAACTAGTTATCTAGCAGCTCGCCAAGCGAGATAAGGTTCGTGTTGATAAATATTCCTCTGAGAGACTGTTTGCCAAGCCTTGCTGACTGTGAATGAAAGGGATTCACAGTTGGGTAAATAAAAGAGGTTTTGCCGGGACCCAGACTTTGCTTCATGCCTGTTAAGGAAGCTTAGGTCAGAACAACTGCGACATGTAGGCTTAAATAGACAAGCATCTCTGTTCCAGGAGTCAACTGCCCACATCTGGCAGAGGTGCCAGAGGAGCGAAAGGGGAGTGGAGCTTGCAGGAGACAATTAGTTTGCTTAATTGGTTCGTGAGACTCCTGGCCCAGTTTTGCAGAGATCGGCCTCACAGCTCTCCAAGCCAGATAAGGTCTGTGACCGTAAATCCTCCCTCGAAAGACTGGATGTGACTTTGCTTGCTCTAGCAGGAGACCCTATCGGTTGTGGCCCACCAGCGGCCAGTGGAGTAGATTCGGACAGGGAGGAGGTTGGGGAGGAAGATGGGCCAGTCCTGGAATCTGGGGAAGGCTCTGAGGAGGGCTCTGTGTCGGAGGCAGAGAGGGGGCTAGGGCCATATGCCAGTCATCAGCTGCCTTCAGAGTCAGACCTCAGTGAGGCAGAAGAACATCTGGAGCCTGTTCCCAGTGTGCTCATGCGCAAAATTGCCAGACGAAGGGAACAGCTGAAGAACAGGGGTCGATTTGGGAGTAAGGCCACAGGTGGATGATGAATGNGAAACAGGCTATTTGCTGTTTGCTGCAAGGAGGCAAATTTCTGGGAGGCAGAAGCGGATTTTTTTCCCCTTGTTTTCTTTCCCAAAAGCTATCCTCTGAAAAATTTTCTCCCTCTGCCTCATCCATCTCCAAATATGGGCCCCAGTTTTAGCTCCGAGATTCAGAAGTATCCAAGTCATGTTTTATTGTCCTTTTCCACATTTTCTGAAATTTGGATGCCTTTTTTATGTGGCACCTTGCCCTGTTCAGAATAACCCAAATTTAAATTTAGCTGATTTAGTTTAACGTCATCTTTTAGGCCGCAATTAAAATCTTCTAGCAGCCGAAGATAGGAGCAAGATCTTATATATATTTTTCTCCTAAATCAGCCGTTACGTAGAATTTTTTTTTATTCGATCAGAGGCACCAATATAGCAAATAGGACCTTAAAATCGGTCTTTATTTTATGCAAGCCACCTTTCTCGGGTTAAATATAACTGGTCCTCAATTTAGGACCGCAACTGAGCTCAACATTTCTGTTGCGAAGTGTTGAGACATTCGCCGAGTGGGTTTTACTTGCTTGCCACAGTCGTTAAGCGCACCATTACAGTAACCTGGTCGTTAAGTGAATCTGGCTTGGCAGATCGCACAAAGGTGCTCTCTTGCGACCGTCATAAATATGAGCCAGTTGCCAAGCGTCCGAATTTTGATCCCGTGATCATGGGAATGCTGCAACAGTAGTACTAGACATGGGTTTCTACCGGTTCGGCCCGGTTCGACTGAGTAGGTCAGACACGCCCCCGAACCGGTTCTATCAGCAGAAGCAATTTTTTTTTACTTCTGCACATGCGTGCGCCCGAAGTGCGAACAGGCAGTAAAAGAAGCTGGAAGCCACCCCTGTGTAGTACGTGTGAAAAACGGTCATAAGCCACTTTTTCCAGGACAGTCGTAACTTCAAACGGTTCGCTAACCAAACGGTTGTCAGTTCGAGAGCTGCCTGTCTTCCTCACGTCAAAGTTTTCCCGAAGTTATCCCGGGAACGGCAAGTATATATATCTTCATCTCTCTCCGCTTTGAAACCGCAAACCCAGCACCCCGGTTGAATTATTATTTTGTCTGTGCCATCGATCAATTCCAGAGCCCGCCGGCCGTACGGCGTGCTACAACTTCAAGAAGAAGAAAATACCGTTCGAGATCAGCAGGCCTTAAAGCATTCGAGCGAGTAAAGCTTGCCAAGAAGATAATAAGTCTGCGTGAAAAGCTTGGCTGGAGATCGCGGAGCAGTTGTGTTCTTGACAACTCATTTAAAAGGGACGCTTTTCCCAATCGATCCCACCAATCTTGGGGCGGGAGGGGGGCCTTGACTTGGAGCCCCGGCCGAGCCACAGACCTCACTTACAAAAGGCGAAACCACCGTGTTCCCTGCCTGGGGAAATGGGGCTCCAGATGGTCAATAAAACAGCAGCTTTCACAGTGGAACACCGCAGGAACGCGGAGAGCTTATTCTATGCCCGGCGCGGAATTCTTTGCAGGAACAGAAAATGTGCTTTTTAAATGTTCGTGGTGAGCTGGCTGGGATGGCGTCCAGCCAAATGACTCTGGGCAGGAAGTCAAAGGAAACCGCCGACAATCAAGATGGAGACTGGATGGGTTTTCGCTCCGGTGGGGAAATTTATTTATTTATCAAACTAGCTGTTAACCATGCGTTGCCCGGGTATTTGTTTATCCCAATCATACAGTTACATGTAAAGGTTCCCCTCGCACATATGTGCTAGTTATTCCCCAGGGGGGGCGGTGCTCAACTCCATTTCAAAGCCGAAGAGCTAGCGCTGTCCAAAGACGTCGCCGTGGTCATGTGGCCGGCATNTTTTTTCATGAAAAAAGTGTGCCTTTGCACAAAAAAGGTTGAAAAACACTGCTCTAAAGCACACTTTTAATAAGGGATGCCCACTGTTGTAAGACTTTATGAGTTCCAGAATAATTTAGTTTACCATCAATAAAGTTTTTAATGTGCCATGTGTGTTTTTAAGTATAGCATTATCGATAAGCTTTTTCCCTCTATATGAAGCAATAACTATAGTTGGCTAGGATGGAAAGTGATTTAGAGAATTATTAGCTAAGAATCCATATTATAATTATAGCTTTCGGTGTTATGTTGTAATACAAGAGTCTTGTTAATAGCAAAAATGTTAAAATGTTAATTCCAAGACTTATTTTCTCCTTTTCTAAGTAAAAATGTCACTTTACTTCATGGGCTACTATAAATCCGCTTGGTATGATTTTTGAATGGGTAGGAAATTCTTAAATCCTAGGACTTGGGTAAACTAATGGAAGGACTGTCTTTCAAAAACTAACAGTGCATAGAAATGTGTGTATCTTAAATCAAGGAGTTATATGAGCAGCTTACTATATATTTATACCAAATTCTAAACCCATCAGATATCAAAACATTAAAATTGCAATTTCACATATTTATATTTTCCCCATTTATTTATATTTTCCCTTAAATTACCATGGAACTTTGTACACAAGAAATATCCATACCTGAACTACCCATGGACTATTGGCAAAGGCCATTATATCTCTCTCTTCCCAGAAGAAAGCTGAATCTGACCTTTTTAACATCTCAAATTTACTTAGCAGCTTCATGGCATACGCTTTCTGCGTTATTTTATGGCGAACCTGTTAAAAAAAAAAGGCAGGATTTAAATAATATAGAAAGTTGGATATGGAGAACCAATAATAAATACCAAAGAACAATAGTCTAAACTTAGCTGAATGCTGAAAAGCAATAGTCTTCAAGAAATAGAATTAAAAGACCAGAAACCTGAAGGGTGAAAACTCTTAGAAAGTAAATGTGATTAAATCAACAGCCAAAGGAAATTTACAGGATGGTCAGCCACATACACACACCGTCTTTATTTTTAAAAAGTAGTTATTGCAAAACAAAATAACTGTCCATGATGGGACAATCAGTGCTGGTACCATCAACAAGGAGTTGAGGACAGATCTAGCATCCAATTGGCACAGAAACCAAAATTGCTTTTGTGGCAATTCCTTCCATCCCTCCTTAAGCAGAAAAGATTAGAAAGAGACAAAAAGACATTCTAGAAAAAAGCGCATACTTCAAGCCATTTATTATACAATCATTGAAATGTTTCACACTTGTCCATATTGCATCATGTTTCCCCGAAAATAAGACAGGGTCTTATTTTCTTTTGACCACTGAAATAAGTCCTTGACCTTATTTTTGGGGAGGTCTTATTATTTTTGAGGTGCGGGAGGCAGCGAGCATGGTCACCTCATGGCTGCTGCTGTGTTGCAATATTTTTTGAGGAGGGCTTATTTTAGCGCATGCGCTCAAAAGCCT